AGGTCGATTCCCACCTCTGAAATTAAAAATAGGAAAGCAGCTAAGACATTTTTCAAAGGAGAGAGCAACCACTGACATTCCTCTAGTGGCAAGTGATAAAGCTGCTACTGAAAACCTTAATTGCTTCTGTATCTATACATAAAACTGCTCACACACAGTTCTTTCACGTAATTATATATGTGGATCAATATATGTGGAAAATAGATCTGATTTTTTTGTAAATAAAAGTTAGGCCCAATTTCCAGTATGAATACTAATTTCTCTAGAAATCTGATCTCTACAGGAAAAAATCATTTGCCAATGACATCTGGGAAATTGGGGTTTTCACAAAACAGAAGTTTATGGAATCTTAACCAAACTCTGAGCAAAAGAAAAGAGCTAATTCTTCTCTGTGGTTAAATGTTATGGGATGGAACATGAAAAGAAGTGGATTCAGAAGTATAAAGTAGTGAACAGCAGTGGGGTTTGTAAAAATTCATGGTACATCAAAAGAAATAAATTACAAGAGACCTTAATAACCAAAATAACACTTTTCATTCTATCAATTGCAAAAGACAGCTCTGCCACACTGCCAGCTTTAATTGCAACAATACGTACATATTTAGATTTAACTACTGAACTATTACTTTCAAGTACAAGAAGGAACTCAAAATAGAAATGACCTGTGTTACAGCTATTGTTTTTCTCTCACAGCTTCAGGAAAAACAGCTTTTAATATACATTGTAGTAAGTACAGAATGTACAGAAGACAGTTATATATACAAAAGTACATTAATATAGTAATACATTTAGCAGATACAGGAAAAAATTCCTGGTTAACAATCTGGTACATTACAGTATTTAAGACTACTTGAAGATTCTCCAAATCAGTCAATTTCCTACTTGCTTTGGTTTATAGTATTGATGCTACATAACTAACTTTTGAAACTAAAACATAAAACCCCTGAAATGTTTAACCATCTGTGAAATGTTTTACATATACTTGTTTACCTTTAATAGATTGTTGACACCAGTCCTATTAAACTCCCAACACAAATATTTAGAATTGATAAAACCTATTATCTAAATTAGAGTATTCAAAGAGAAAATTAAACTGATTCACTAAAGGAACAGACATGGTCTGCTCCATTCTTAAAAGCCTCAGTTGGATAACCTAACCCCAAAGTTTGAACTTAAATCCAATTGGTCAGCTACTATTAAAGAGCAAGCAGCTCACAAAATAAGCCATAACTTCAGGTCACTGTTCCTTAGAACAATTCAGAATAGTAAGTATTAACTTGTCATTTATACATGTTAGTTCTACAACTACATTAATATAGTCAAAATTCATATATATAATTAGAGCAGTTCTCTTTTCTATGAACCTCATATTTCACCATAAAAAAAAAACCCAGATCGCCACAGGTTCCGTCAACCACAAAGAAGTAAAAAACTAACAATAAAGAAAAAGTACTCTATATTGAAATCAAAGAGGACCAAACCAGTTTTTATGAGTTCGGTATGAATACCAAATTAAAAATTAATTTATCATCATGTGATCTAGGTTAAAACATTAATAACCTTAATTTGAAACATAACTATGAAGGAGGCTGAAAACAAATAATCTTAATATTAGAAAAAATATGAAAATAAAATTTTAGTGAGTTAACTCAGATCTTCAGCTATATCATGCAACTTCCTTACTCTTACTAGCCAGTTAATTAGAGTAATTTTCAGAGTTCCTTCTAAGCCTTTTGGAATAAGTAAATTATTTTACAAAGAAGTAAGAATTAAGCACTCTAAGGAGCTATGTTTCACATACTATGATGAAATGCCTGGGTCTAAATATCTCAGATGCTTCTCATATGCACTTAGCATAATTTCATTGTAAAGATAAAATTTATCTTACTTTGTCAGACTTAAAATGAATCCAAAGTTAGCACAGTACATCTGTATACAAATACTTATTTTCTAACTAGTAGTTCTTTTAATGAATAAATTTACCACTACTTAGACATGTTGAATGTCAGTGTGTTCAACGTCACTACTACTATTTGAATGCAACTGGGTATTTTCCTATCAACTGTCTCAAACTATAAACTGACTTCAAGTAACCCCCTCTCAATTCCAAGCAAACATTTTTCTTGAAGATAGAAATGCTAAAAGGTAATCTATTGAAGGGGAGCAGAGTGTTCCAGCTACTACGCAAATGAATACAAAGAATCCCTAAATTTAACAAACAAGAAAATCAATTTGTTATCTAATCTCTGTTCTTGAGGTACTTTTGCCTTGAAAATGATCTTTCTGGATACTCAGTTAGCTGATTTAAAAAGTATTTTAGCTTATGACCTTTCCAGGGGTGGAAAATAAGAGACTACATTAAGCTATACTTTAGATTACTTTAAGTGTTCTTCAATGACGTAGCTGAGCCAAAAATAAAGTTATGTATGAAATTTAAAGTCTGAAGGTTTTTGCTTTGCTGTACAGGCTATTACACACTGATTGGTTCAATTTAAAGGCTTTGCTTACTGATATCCGAAAACATGGGCATTTTATAAAACGAATTACAGCATTTAGATTATTTCTGAGTTTGGAAAAGCCCAATATTAACAAAAGGTACAGAGTTTACCCTTTAAAGCACAGGATGCCATACAGAGTAAGCCATGAACAAAAATCTCTGCTAGAGAATCTGGAAATAAGACTTTGGCATTTGTCACATAATAACATTTTTGGCTTAAATATGAAGAAATCTGATGATAAATTTCACAATTTTTAAAGCTTATTAGAATCTGGTTAACTTTATACAATTCCTTAGAATTCTTCCTTTATGAGAGGACTTAGCACTTTCAAGAACTAAATAAAATGAGATGTCCACCCAATCCATAGAGGCATTAAATCACAAGTCAGTTTCTGGGATTAATTTAGCAATATCTAGTTAACCCCAAGGTATGAGGAAATGGACAAAACTGTCACAGCCTAACAAAAAAATGAGACAAGTCTTAAAAAAAAAACTGTTATTTTACTCCAAGTTCTTGTTGGTACAGAATGAATTAGCCTTTTATACTGCACTACACATTATAGTACATTGCCTCCCTTTCATACAGTTGCAAAACTGTAGAAAAATTCATACCGCTTTGTTTAACTCAAGGTTCATACTTTAAAAAAAGCTATGGTGGGAACTGACAGACTACTACAAGATATCTTTTTCTAGTTTGATTGTAATGTAATTGACATTCATATAAGATAATCTCTAAGATAATGTTTCTGGATAAATCTGAGGGAACTTTATCATGCCCTCAGTTAAAAAGACTTATCTTTAAAGGCAGAGAACTAACTTGCTCCAGTGTCAATGTTCTACAGATGAGAACTGACACAGGAGCAAACAAGTCTCATAAGTTCATTAATTAGGGTTTATTTAAAAAAAATATTGAGTCTAAAGCAATCCATAGATGCAATGCAATCCCTATCAAAATACCAACAGCATTCTTCAAGGAACTGGAACAAATAGTTCAAAAATTCATATGGAACCACAAAAGTCCCCAAATAGCCAAAGCAATCCTGAGAAGGAAGAATAAAGCAGAGGGGATCTCGCTTCCCAACATCAAGCTCCACTACAAAGCCACAGTAATCAACAGTTTGGTACTGGCACAAGAACAGACTCATAGACCAGTGGAACAGAATAGAGAGTCCAGATATTAATCCAAGCATATATGGTCAATTAATATACGGTAAAGGAGCCATGGATATACAATGGGGAAATGACAGCCTCTTTAACAGCTGGTGTTGGCAAAACTGGACAGCTACATGTAAGAGAATGAAACTGGATTACTGTCTAACTCCATACACAAAAGTAAACTGGAAATGGATCAAAGATTTGAATGTAAGTCATGAAACCATTAAACTCTTAGAAGAAAACATAAGCAAAACTCTCTTGAATATAAACATGAACAACTTGTTCATGAACATATCTCCCTGGGCAAGGGAAACAAAAGCAAAAATGAACAAGTGGGACTATATCAAGCTGAAAAGCTTCTGTACAGCCAAGGACACCATCAGTAGAACAAAAAGATATCCTACAGTATGGAAGAATATATTCATAAATGACATATCCAATAAAGGGTTGACATCCAAAATATATAAAGAGTTCATGCACCTCAACAAACAAAAAGCAAATAATCCAATTATAAAATGGTCAGAAGATCTGAACAGACACTTCTCCAAAGAAGAAATTCAGATGGCCAACAGACACATGAAAAGATGCTCCACATCACTAATCATCAGCGAAATGAAAATTTAAACCACAATGAGATATCACCTCACACCTGTTAGGATGGCCAACATCTAAAAGACAAACAACAAATGTTGGCCAGGATGTGGAGAAAGGGGAACCCTCCTACAATGCTGGTGGGAATGTAAATTAGTTCAACCATTGTGGAAAGCAGTATGGAGGTTCCTCAAAAAACTCAAAATAGAAATACCATTTGATCCAGGAATTCCACTCCTAGGAATTTACCCTAAGAATGCAGCAGCCCAGTTTGAAAAAGACAGATGCACCCCTATGTTTCTCACAGCACTATTTCCAATAGCCAAGAAATGGAAGGAACCTAAGTGTTCATCAGTAGATGAATGGATAAAGAAGATGTGGTACATATACACAATGGAATTATTCAGCCATAAGAAGAAAACAAATCCTACCATTTGCAACAACATGGATGGAGCTACAGAGTATTATGTTCAATGAAATAAGCCAGGCGGAGAAAGACAAGTACCAAATGATTCCACTCATCTGTGGAGTATAAGAACAAAGAAATAACTGAAGGAACAAAACAGCAGCAGACTCACAGAACCCAAGAATGGACTAACAGTTACCAAAGGGAAAGGGACTGGGGAGGATGGGTGGGAAGGGAGGGATAAGGGGGAAAAAGGGGCATTATGATTAGCACACATAATGTAGGGGTGGGGGCATGGGGAAGGCAGTATAACACAGAGAAGACTAGTGATTCTGTAGCATCTTACTACCCTGATGGACAGTGACTGTAATGGGGTATGTGGTGGGGATTTGAGTAACCATAACATTGCTCATGTAATTGTACACTGATGATACCAAAATAAAAAAATATATATTGAGTTGGATGTTCTAAACTGAACTCAGAGATATAACCAGATTCAATAAACCGTTACTTATTCTAAGAAAAGAAATAATTCAAAATTGATTTATCTACATGAGGAATTAACACGGGAAAAAGTACAGCACATTAGCAAAGACAAGAGAACTTTCTTTTTTTGCTGGGTTTTTTTGGCTTGGGCGGTAGGGAAAGACTTTGTAATCCCCCTCTTCAATCACAAGCAAAGCCAAGTTGTTTTAATTTTTTCTTTTAATCAGAGGAAGTATTTTCTATCTCTTCAAAGCCAACTTTATAGGCAATCTCTAATTTATAGCACACAAAGACAATGCTTACACAAGATACCATGGCCCACTTTACTATAAACACTCAAACCTTTATAAACTTTTAAAATTGGCTTTGTGGCACGAAACCTATTTGATAGTGACTTAAATTAAATTTAAGGTAATAAGACTGTGATTATTGGGAGAGTAGAGGAAGTGGTCTTATTACATCATGACCCTGATTAGGATTTTGTTTTACTGGTCATGGTCAAGTAAATTGTCTCCAAGTACTTAACTGATAAATGCTATTCTATGGTTTCCAAAAGTGGCCTATTTCCCTAGAAGTATAAGTAAAAAGAACAGATGATCAGGAATTTTGCTTGTGCTATGAGCAGACAAAAAATCCAGCTGTTTTTGCTCTTCTCTCCATTTACTCTTCCTGTACTTGGAAGGGAAAACACAATGAGGCTGACCCTTCCCACCTTCCTCAGAGTATTCTGGGGTATACCCCCAATGTCTCTTTGGGCCCTCTATGCTGCTTAGGAGCACCAAAGAGGGGGTAAGAGGAAATTCAGAAGGACCACTCCAACTGGTAACACATACATACTTTTATTTTAGTAAAATTTTTAAGTATGAATTCAGTAGTCTTCAAAATGTTACAACCATACCACAGGTATCAGCAAAGCTTCAATATGTCAATTTTTATCCTTAGTTTCAATTCTTTAACCTTCAAGGAACCAAAATGAAATCAAATTTTCAAAATCTATCATTACAAGAAAAGTGTAAGCCTTTTAATCAACTGATAATTAATAAGTCATTATTCTTAATGAATTGATATAAAAAGTAAAAAAAGAAGTAGAAATCCTAACAACCTCTCACCCTAAAGATTAAAAAAACAACTCCTCCTACAGAATTGATAACCTCCCAAAAACTACACAATAAAAAATTATCAGTCAGAAAGCAGCTTGATTGTCAGTAGTATCAGTTCCCATCTTTAACCCATGTGATTGTTTAAAGATGTGTGTTAGAAGGAATCACACTACTTCTAATGTTCACAACAAATTCTCCATGAAAACATTTAAAGAAACTCCATGATTTCACATTTAAAATTACAGCTCTATTAATAGCCAATAAGTTAAGTTCTTTTTCTATATCTCACTGCTCTATTTACTGAGATTTATAAAAAAGCTTAGAACTGTAAGTTTTCTTTAATTTTGAAGATTAGCCTGTTCACATGCCAGAAGCTATTACATCAATATTTAAAAATTAGAGCTGTGCTGGAAGTAAAATGACCTATCAAAAGAACTTGAGATAGTTTCTGCTTCTGAGACAGTTTCACAGCCTAGAATTTCAGAAAGCAGTAGAAAAGCAGAATTGGTCATTTTGCTTAATTGCTTTCTCTATTTGAGTATTAATCACCATAGCATCAAGTCTAAAATTCAGTTACTAGTAACATTATTTCCTCAGTAGTTATCACTTACAGAAGAGATTCCAAATTTACGTAAAGTGAAAAAAACAGATGTAAGCAAAGATATTAGGGCCCATTTTCATAACCTTTGAGTTAATAATGAATGAAAAATGACAGAACTAAATCTAACGAAGGCACTATTGTAAACAGCAACCCACACCCCACTCCCACAGCGATAAAGTAAGATTTTCATTAGGAATTGAGAATTATGCTATGGCCCTTTAGAAAAAGCAAATAAAGAAATTTTAACATAAAGAAGGAAATTTAACTATGACCTCTACACGTGTATGTGTACTGACATAACTACTTGTCAGCAGTACCTTGAAATCTTGTAAACTGTAAAAGTACTAGTCTTTGAAAAAAGCCCACTTAATAACTCTATAAAGTTTAAATAGCCAATACATTTACTTAATCAGTGGTTCTTAAAACTAGAGGGTGTAGCAAAATAACCTGGTGCTTGCTAAAACACAATGTTGGGCCCTTCCGCTAGGATTTCTGATTCACTACTCTGGGTTGGGGCTAATAGTATACATTTTTAACAAGTTCTCAGGTGATGCTGAAGCTGCTCATCTGGGGACCACCTGCTGAGAACCACTGACCTAAATTATTAATGATATATCAGTACAGCCCTAATCAAAAGTTTGGTCAAGATGCATGTAAACAAATAAGGAGAGAATACATTAATGTTTAAAGAACGCTGAAAAATTCACCCTTATTACATCAAAACATCTACATCTGCTTCATGGTCTTCCTCAGTCACTTTCAGGGACAGCACTTCTTCATTGAGGAAGAGCCCACTGAGCCTCTCCTTCCGAGCCTGCCTCTGCTCTTTCAGCTGCCTCTTGCGGAAGGCCTTCTGCTGTAACTTACGCTGCTTGGATCGCTTCTGTCAAAATAAAAATTTTTACATCAGTAAGGTTCAGTTCTGGCATATCCACTCCAAAGCATTTTATGGATAAAATTCTGTATTTTCAGAATTTTTAGAGATGTTCAAATTCCTTTGCAGTATGATCCCAGTTCCAGTAAGTGAGCCACTGGTTTAGACTTGAAAATGGTTCATGATTCTATTTTTATATGTATCTTCTGATAAGGGTTGAAACTTGATAATCTTGACTAGTTATGGATAACCTATCACTTCAAAGACTTTTTGTTTTATCAACTGAAGGTACACTGGTATTAGTGCAGAGTGAACATATAGTGGGCAACACTGAATACAAATGCAGAGAACATTGCCAAAATCTCTAATGCTTATGCTTATGCTTTGAAGGTATCTTTCATACAAAAGCACTAGCAATTCTACAATGGCTAGGAAAGAATCATGTTTTTTTCACAGTAGGCAAATACCATTTTAAAGCCCATGAAAAACCTAGTTAGTACTCTAGTCCTCAACACTGGTGAACTGATTCCAAAAGGAATGACCACATAGCCAGAGGAATTCCTTGGCAACAAATAAGGCTGGCTATGCTTCTGCTGCCCTGGTAAGAGCCAGGAACGGAGAAATCATTGTGTGTCTTCTAGTCAACACTGGGTTCCCTAAGAATTATAGAGAGACCCTTATCATCCTTAAATTGGCTCCAGACTGTTGCTACTGCAAGGAACTGAATTCCCCTGCCCAAGGATCTCAGAACCACGGAAACAATCTATGTACTCTTACACCTCCTATTTTTTATGTACTCAATAATATTGTAATTTTTTCAATTGTGAAAAGAGTAGAGAGAATTATAGAAAGCATTATTATATTTTTAAAAGAGCTAAGGACATTCAAGATTAAAACATGAAGAGAACATTTAATACACACAAAAGACATATAGGACATTCTTAGGAGCTATTAGACAGCAACATCAGCAACATAGTGAGATCCACTCACTAGTAGTTGCAGTTAATACTGAAACTCACTCATTATTTCCATCAATTTATCTACCTTAAAATAGACACAAAAATTAGATGAAATTTAACATGATATGGCTGTGGGTCAAAACAGTGTTTAAAAGCAGTCAGCCCAGAGGGATTTGTTCAACAGCAGAGCACCCTGCTTGTTCAATTAAAACCAGAACCTACATGCATCTTGAGAGCAGAATAATTTCAATTCTTCAAGAAATTTATGTGAAGGAGTATTACTCCTAATATTGAAAGGTAAAGTTTTGTATTGATTAGACGTTTTACTTTTGAATCCCGAATCCGCTCTGCCGCACTTGCAGACAAGTTGCTGTCACTGTGTGCTCGGCTCATGTTGGCACTGGAGTTTGAAGCAGAGTTTCCAACACTGGACCCACTGCTGCTTGCAGAACTGACCATGCTGGCACTGCTGCTGCTGGCACTGGCGCTGGCGCCACTCACTCCACTGGTGCTTGCACAACTAAAGTTGCTTCTCTTCCAGGCCTCTCTTGCAGGCCGTTGGCGAGAGCTATGCTCCTTGATATAGTTTCTGACCTTGGAACACACAGACAAAAACTGTTCAGTGTTGTTACTTGATGGAGAAAAGAATATTGTACTTAATTTTTAAAATTGTCAAAAGTGATACAGATGTACATAGGTAGAATGTAAAGACAAAAGAAACCTCTACATGTAGAAACAAGTACCAGAAAAATTGACAATGTTCAAAACTGTAGAATACATATTATGGAGTTAAATTTTAAAGGATATAAAATATAATCAGTAAATATAAGGCTACTGGCCTCCAGACTTCAGTACTGAAAGAAAATGAAACTCAAGAACAGAAATAATAAAATAAAATAGATCAAATTACGCAATTTTTAAAGGTCTCCACTTAAAGATGATTTAAGTAAGTTGCAATTATACCTAAGATTAGCGTGTTTCCTAAATTTTAGCCTAGTGGCCTGCTGTACCTGTCTTCAAATGTAAGTCATCAATTTACCATACTAAAGAAAAATGTGCTGGAATGCAAAAAATTATAGTATGATTGTTGAGAGAAATACTGAGATGAGAGATTTTCATAAACGATAAATATATAATTCTTAAAAAAAAACAAAAGTAGAACATAAGTATTCATTCAGCTATGTACTAGAGAAAAAGAGAACACCAAAGACTGTATTTGGAAGATACCAGAAATGTGTATTTCAGAATAGCAGAGGGAAAATTCATTGTTTTACTTTACTTAGGCTCAATAACTCCATAAGACTACTCAAGTTCCTTAGCTTAGATATTCACTCAAGTACAGCTCCCAATAATCAGTATTTGATTTGTCAATCAATCAACTGGTCTTTGTTGAGTTCAAATAAATCTATACTTCAGTGTAACCACCATTTTAGTGGTAAAATTAACTGTCAAAACCTACACAACTAAAGAGCAACTCCTAGATCCACACAATCCCAGAAAGACACTGCCAGGTCAGATCCCCATAAACCTCTTAAAACCACATGTTCTCAAATATTACCATAATTTTTTTCTAATACTACATTTCACAGCAGTGATTTTGACCTTAATTATTTATGTATTCACATAGGATTACATACCTGCTTCAGTTTTTCATCTGTGAGACAGTTAAGTTCAATAATAAACTCACTGTCTGTAGGAGAGATTTGAGCAGAAGGATCAATTATTTTAATAATATCAAGTTGCTCCCGAAGACCCATCTCAGTACTGACTTTACGACTCAGATACTCAATATATTCTACCTATGTAATGAAAAATTATAATAAACATGATCAATACCAAAACCACTGATCTCTTAGTGTCATTTATGTGTTTTAAATATCAGAAGCACGTAATATTATATTTGTTCCCTGCAAAACAGTTAAAGCTTAAATACAGATTTACTAAGCAATCCACATTTATGCAGTAGATTTAAATAGCCAATAAACTTAGCTTCAGAAATTCTCTACATATATGCTTTTAATTAAGAATGCTAAGATCTCTACCTGCTCATCATTTGTCATTGCACTCCAAGGAAGTTCATCTAAATTCTGGTGTTTGTTTTTCTTTTTAGTTAGCAGGCAAGGTGAACTTGGAATACTAGGTATGACATCAGAAAGCACATCACTCCCACTGGCAATGTCACTGCCTGGTAACTATAAAAATAAGAAGGAAATAGTAAAAGCAAAACTTCAAAAAAATAAATTTAAATACTACAACACATTTCATATTGATTAAAAATTACTTTATAATTTTTACAAGTACAGAATCAGAAGATATTAATTCGGATCCAGTTCTACCTTAGAGAAAGCAGCAGCATCAACATTTTCTTTTTAATATAGTCACTTACTTGATGAGTGAGATTTTCCAAAGGCTTAAAATCGTACTCAAGACTTGTTAAAATGCTAACTTAAGAGCCTATGGTCATTAAGGTTTTTAATTCGCAATGTGAATGTGGGCTAGGGCTCTCACATAGCATTATAAGGAGCCAGTGCTTATCTCAGGAGACCTGAGTGATCTGCCACTACCTGGCTCTCTGCCCAACATACTACCAGTATAAAGACAAATGGCCCTTGTCCTCAAGTCTGTATTAACATCATTGAGACAATTAAGATAATTTAAAATATGCTATTTATATAAAGCAAAACACTTTAAAGACCAGAAGTATTAAAAAAGTTATAAAAAAATGGTACGAGACAACACTTAGATGAGAGAAATGCAAGCAAGCTTAATACACAGAAAACCAAATCAGTTTAAAGAGGAACAGCAAAAATACATGCTATAATTTTATACTGCCTATTAAAAACCAGTTAAAATGGACTTAAATTTTTAATAGCTTTACTGAGTTATAACTGATACACAAAGAACTGTACATATTTAATTATACAATTTTATAACTTTAGACATATGCATATACCCATGAAACCATTATCACAATCAAGGTAATAAACATAGCCATCACTTCCAAAAGTCAGAATGGATTTAATTTTAAATAAATAAGTCACTCAACAAAAGGTAAAATATTTTCTTCTACAAGGAGTATACAACAATTTTCAAAGACAATGATTTCATTCTTACAAGGTAAAAAACAGCACCTTTTTGCTGTTGTTTGGTTCTTCAAGCTTTGCAAATTATATCTGAACTCTGGATGATTACTGGGCTTTGAAGTTACCAGAGAAGTTACTTTAGCCATGAAGACTATTGCAGTCACAAGTATTACTGCATCCACAGGCACCATAATTGGTACAGGGGGGTTCCAAGGAGTGTAAGTCACAGTCATTACACAAGAACTTTATACTCTACTTGGGAAGATAATACAATTAACTCAAACACCAAAAATACAACATAGCTTACGACAAATGCTAGGTTTTAAATGAGAGGTCATCAATAATAATATCTACCAGTGAGTTGAAGCTGCAGGAACAGAGCTTAAAAGAGCTACAAGGGGGCAGGCATTGGGGAGTCAGTCACCTAGAAGAGATAAGTGAAGCCACAAAAATGGGGCTGATCACTGTGCAAGGTGACCATGAAATTTCCACTTTGACAGTCATTGGTAAAATGACCACTTTGACAGTCATTGGTGAAATGAAGTGCGTAAGTGACTTCCAACAATTTGTATGAATTCCTTTAAAATCGCATTAGCTAACACTGCTTGGATTATTCACTCTTAGCCCTCATGTTATCTAGTTGCTGACATGAAAGGATGATTGCTGAATGCACACATGAAGGCCATCTCTTTTTCAGCCTTTAATGTCAAGAAAATATGATTTTCTTTCTTCCCTTTTGAAAGACAGTATTACTACATTAAAGATCTTCCTAGGGTTCCTAAAACAAAATGAAACAGTCCTTATCAGATGAAAGACCTTCCCTACTTCAAGCTCCTTTGATAAGTTAGGTAGAGAAAGGAACTCTCGAAAATTAAGGAAATTTTTCATCTAAATCTTTAGCAAAAATTTCTAGGTGTCAGACTATATGTTAAGCACTTAACTTTATGCCTTTAATTCTGTGTATGTGCTTCTTTGGGTTGTAAAAGAAAAAGGCAATTAATTAGTGGTTTTCTGGCCATTTTTTTTCAGGTGGAACTAGAAAGACCCTCAACAGAATTCAAATCTCAGCTCCACTGCTCACTAACCATGTGATCTTGTGGAGGTTAGTTTACTTCTTTGAGCCTCAGAGTCATCAGTAAGTTATGGTTAGTGCCATCCATCTCAAAGGTTTGAGAGGTTTAAATGAGGTAATATGACGGGCATATAGATGACACTCAATAAATAGATGCATTTTCCTTTTTCCATCTCTTGCCATGGTTTTGTAACCTTAAAAAATATAGCATAGACCCTTAGAGAATGCCACATGTTGCTAAAGTGGCTAGGTAATGCTTCACAAGGTGGTCTCTCAGAATGACAAAATGGGGAAAAGGAAAAGGCATTCAGGTAAGCAGAACAATTTAATAAAACAATAATGAACAAAAAGACACAGGACGAGGTTAATCAGTGTAGATGTCTGAAAGCTCAACAGACAAATGTGAATATAGAATATGTAGAAGTATGCCAATAACATTTTCTACATAGAAGGAACTTGATGAAACTGGTCTGGAGGGACGATGAATTAAAAAGCAGTATGGAGATAAATAGAGTGAGGAAAGATTGGAATTAGACAGCATGCTCTTCTTTGATCTAGGCATGGACTGACATAAGCAAAAATGGGAAGAAAAATGGCAACAGATAGGGAAATATCTGAATGAAACACAATTTATAAGACTGATAACTGAATGGATAACGATAATAGTCAGATGACCACATGTTGAGACCAAAAGAAAACTGGCAACATTTCAGTCATACATCCTTATCAAGGGTGATGCACTTAGAGACCTCAATTTTTACAGCAAGGGACCTGAAGTAACATTAACTATCTTACAGTCTAAAACTTTCATTTTACAAATAAGGTAAAACAATGCCCATGGAGGGTCATACAGTTGGTTATGGCAGTATCCAAAGTTGGACACAAGTCCTGTGCTTTTGACCATGCCAGGCCATCTTGTCTTGCAGGTAGTTTGGAATGAGACAAGAATGCAATCTGGAATCTGTAGTTTGTAGTGAAAATGAAAGAAGTACAAGTGTCCTTTGAAATGCCAATAGTCATTTTCACTGCACCGTAAAATGTGTCACAAAGCAGTATAGTTTTTTCCCATGGAAATACTGTAATTATAAGTTGCATTACTGATCAAGGACTCAGCATCCAATAATAGCTTAGCATTAAATAATAAGGTCATCCAAGTGGAAATGTCAAGTAGTCAACTGGAGATATAGGATTAGAGCTGCAGCTGTACATCAGAATCAATTGTATGGGTTCCTATATTAGACTGGCAATTTTTCATTTTATAACTGATAATATATTTCAAGATAAAAATGTTTAATAACTCTCATTCCCTATTTTTCAGAGATAATATTTGGTATATTTATATTATAACCAGTAATTGTGACAAGTAGGGAGAATTAAATCAAATCTCTGCTGTATTTTCTGCACTATGCAGTAAAATTTTATGAGTAAGCTCATTTCTGTAACAGCTGATGTGTAATTTCAAACTGCACCTCTAGGTTTCAAGTGTGACAGCTGAATTACTTTTTAATTTTCTATGCTTTCCAACTCAACAGCAAAATAATTTCTCAATCTTTAAGACTAGTCAAATATATATTTCATAATAAAAGGATTGCAAACAGTGAAAATTATCAGCAAAGCAAAATGCTTTGATGCTACTTAAAATGCTAAGATGCTTGGGGTGGATTAATGATTGTGTATTGAGCATTGACTCCCCTATACAGAATTTTATTGTTCTTAACAACCATTTGATCAATAAATATGAGAGATGCCCTCTCAAAACAAAAAAAAAACAGAAAAAAAAATGCTAAGATGTTATTTCATTCTGAAATTAACATCCTGCCTTTTCAGGTACTTAGTATTTTTCATCTCAAAGAATCTATGAATAGTCTATATTTACTTTAGTAGTAACTGAAACATTTGTTAAAAAGAAGGATTTAAACAGATGTGGTTTTTAATCACAAAAAAGGTAATACAAATTTTAAATTATAGTCATGATTTTTTTATGTTCTTTTTTTTTGAGAGGGTATCTCTCATATTTATTGATCATATGGTTGTTAACAACAATAAAATTCTGTATAGGGGACTCAATGCACAGTCATTAATCAACCCCAAGCCAAATTCTCAACAGTCTCCAATCTTCTGAAGCATAATGAACAAGTTTTTACATGGTGAACAAGTTCTTACATGGTGAACAGTGCAAGGGCATTCATCACAGAAACTTTCGGTTTTGATCACATATCATGAACTATAAACAATCTGGTCAATTATGATTATTTGTTTGATTTTTATACTTGATTTATAAGTGAATCCCACATTTCTCCCTTATTATTATTATTATTATTTTTAATAAAGTGCTGAAGTGGTAGGTAGATGCAAGATAAAGGTAGAAAACATAGTTTAGTGCTGTAAGAGGGCAAATTTAGATGATCTGGTGTGTGCCTGTAGACTAAGTGTTAATCCAAGCTAGACAAGGGCAACAAAACATCCACGGATGCAGAAGATTTCTCTCAAAACAGGGGGGGTGAGGTTCTAAGCCTCACCTCTGTTGATCCCCAATTTCTCATCTGATGGCCCCCCTGCGACTGTGCCTGTCTTAGGTTGTTCCTCCCTTGAGGAATCTTACCCGTCTCTGGCTAACCAGTCATCTTCCGGGGCCATACAGGGAAATGCAAAGCAATATTGTTTGAAAAGGTTAGCCTTTTACTTCTTTGCAGATTTATGCCCTGTGGCTTCTATGCCCAGCATTTGTCTTGAGGTATCTTTACCACTTGGAAGAATTATGATACTCGGTAATTTAGATATGAGGCACGAATTCTACTTAGAGGTTGTTATAGTCAATGATTTTTAGTATATATTAATCCTAAGACATAATTTATAATTACCTTCTTGGATGATTTACTGCTCATCATTACAAGGTTCCACAAAGATAAGAGAGCATTTTAAAGCTTTCAGCATATTTAAACAGCAAATATCCATGGTAACAAAGCACCCACACTCTAATTTCAGAAGTGAGAAAACACATTACTAAAGCAGGCCTTATTTTTGTTTCAATGTTGTAGTCAGTGATGTACATTAACAGTGAATGGTAGGGTAGTTTTCCACTCTTAACTACTCACGAAATGAGTGAAAAAGTCAGCAATCAAGACTTTTTAAAAGGCCGCCACTTTGCAACACTATTGATGATAACAACTCTAAATCACATGAAATAAGCAGAAAAAACATTCCTCAGAATTATCAGGACTCCATCTCATCACATTTTATTAAAAATCCTTGTAGTTCTGCTTTTAAATACAATGTGCGAACTTCAAAAAATGAAGCACTGAAGAAAAAAAATTACCCACACAAAGATGCTCACTGCTGTGTTAATCTATAATAGAAAAAAATTGAAACAGATGGAAACAGGGGAATGGTTTCACAAGTTCTAGCACATCTAGTACCAGGAATATTATGTAGTCACTGAAAGAGTCATGAAAATCATGAAAAAGTTTGTATGTTAAATGAGAAAATATTATTACAGTATTTTATCCAGAAGAAAAGGGAACACTTCATAACGCATTCTATGAAGCCAAAATGACACCAAACCATTGCAAAGAAAGAAAACTACAGACAAATAATACCCCTTATTAATACAGATGCAAAAAGATCCTCAACAAAATCCTAGCAAAACCAAATCCAGGAGCATATTAAAAGGAATATCTATCATGACCAATGAGGATTTATTCCAGAAATGCAAGGGTGGGCCAATAAACAAAAATCTACCAGTATAGTACATCATACTAACAGAACGAAGGAAAGAACCTGCATGATCATCTCAATAGATACAGAAAAAGCATTTTGACAGAATTTAATACCCTTTCAGATAAAAACACTGAACAAACCAGGAATGGAGGGAAAGTTCCTCAATATGATAAAAGGCATTTATGGTAAACCTACAGCTAACATTACTCTTAATGGTGAGAGCCTGAAAGCATCTCCACTGCGATCAGGAAAAAGACAAGGATGCCTGCTTTCGCCATTTCTATTCAACATTGTACTGGAGATCTAGCCAAGACAATTAAGGAAGAGGCAAAAAAAGCTACCCAGATTGGAACATGAGTAGGAAAACTATCTCTATTCACAGGTGACATAATCTTAAACACAGAAAACCCTAAAGAATCCACACAGAAAAAAATAAAACTAACAAATGAATTTAGTGGCAGGATATAAAATCAATATACAAAGATCACTTGTATTTCTATACACTAGCAATGAACAATCCAAAAATGACATTAAGAAAACAACTCCATTTACAACACTAACAAAAGAATAAAATATTTAGGAATAAACTGAACCAAGGAAATACAAAACTTGGACACTGAAAGCTAGAAAACATCATTTAAAGATATTAAAGATACCTAAATACACTCCATTCTATATTCATGGGCTGGCATATTTAATAGAAATACTGTTATGATGGCAATACGCGTCAAATGGATCTACAGATTCAATGTATTCCCTGTTAAAATTCCAACTGCCCTTTTTGCATAAATGGACAACCTGATCCTAAAATTCATATGGAATTGCAAAAGGGACCCCCAAGTAGCTAAAACAATCTTGATAAAGAATAACAAAGTGGGAGAACTCACACTTCCTGATTTCAAACATTACTAGAAGCCAGAGTAATTAAAACAGTGTGGTACTGGCATAAGGATAGACATATAATATCAATGCAATAGAATTAAGAACTAAAACCATATACATCTATGACCAATTCATTTCCATAAGGGTATGAAGATCACTTGATCAATAAAGAATATAGTCTTTTCAACAAATGGTGCCAGAACAACTGGGTATCTATATGCAAAAGAATGAATTTGAACCCCATGTTATACCACATACAAAAATAACTCAAAATGATCAAAGCTCTAAATGTAAAGAAAACTCTAAAACTCTGAGAAGAAAACAGATGAAAATCTGCATGACCTTGGATTAAGTAATGATTTTTTAAAATATGATATTGTAAATAGAGCATCCAAAGAAAAATAAACTGGACTTCACTAACAATTAAAAACTTTAGTGTGTCAAAGTATACTACCAAGTGAAAAGACAAACTACAGAATGGGAAACATTTTTTTGCAAATTTGTATATAATAAGGGTCTCATAGCCATAATGTAAAAAACTTACCAATTCAACAATGAGACAAATAACACAATTTAAAAATGGGCACAGGATTTGAAGACATTTTTCCAAAGAAGATGTACAAATGACCAATAAGCATATGAAAACATGTTCAGCATCATTAGTTGTTAACAAATGCAAATCAAAACCACTTTACATGCAGCAGGATGGCTATAATAAAAGAGAGACAATATCAAGTGTTGTGAAGGATATGGAGATATTGGAACTTTCATATATTGCTGGTGGGAATGTAAATGGTATAGCCACTTTGGAAATAAGTTAAACATAAAGTTATCACATAACTTGGAGATTCCACTCCTAAGTATGTACTGAAGAGAATTGGAAATACACATCCATATGAAAACTTGTACTTGCATGTTCATAGCAGTATTATTCATTACAGCCCTAAAGGTGAAGCCATCTATCAGATGATTAATGGGTAAACAAAATGTGATATATCCATATAATGGAATATTCAGCCTTAGAAAGGAATTGTTATGGATTGAGTGTTTGTGTCCTCCCTCAAATTCTTCTCAAAGCCCTAATCTCCAAAGCATGATATCTGAGGGTGGGGCTTTGGGAGGTAATTTCATTTATATAAGGTCATAAAGATAGTACATCTATGACAGGGTTAGTCACTTTATAAAGGGATGAAGATCACAGTTCGTTCTCTCTCGCTCTCCCACTTCAATGTGAAGATAAAAGGAAGCTGCCTAAAAACCAGAGAGGGTCCTACCAAAACCTTATCATGATGGCATTCTGATCTTAGACTTTCAGCCTCCTGAAATATGAGAAATAAATGTCATTTAAACCAACCAGTCTATGGTATTATAGCAGCCTGAGCTAAGAGAAATGAAGTATTGTTACATACTACAACATGGTTCAACCTTGAAAACATTATGCTAAGTGAAAGAAGCCAGACAGAAAAAGACACATATTAAATGAGAACATTTATATGTCCAGAAAAGCAAAACCATAGAGAAAGTAAATTAGTTGTTACTAGGTGATGGGAGCAGGAAGGTACTGGGACTCACAGGTATAGGTTTCATTTTGGAATGATGGAAATATCCTGGAATTAGTGATGGCAGCACAACATTGTGAATATAATAAAAGTCACTGAATTATACACTTTTAAATTATTTAAACAATAATTTTATCTCAATTTTTAAGTTACAGAAGTTTTCAGTTTTCATCCAAATCATATTTACAACTACATATAAAACAGAAGCATTTTAAGTATATAAAAAATATAAAAACAGAAGGGTTGTAGATTATTTTTCTTCTTTAAAATTCTTTATTTTCAGTGCAGTGTATTTGTAACAAAAAAAATGAAACCAATCTAAATATCCATTATCACGGAACTGATAAAACAAATTATGATACAGCTATCAAAAAGAATGAGATATATTATTCAAAACAAAAAGCAAAGGGCCAGTGAAGTATGATACCATTGATGTGTGTCTTTAAAATAATGCTGTGCAAACATACTTGCAACTCTACAAATTCTTAACAGTAGTAACCAGTCAGGTGGGACTTGGAGGCTTATTTTTAATTTAAGCCATTCTGTATTATTTAATATTTTAATAAAAAGTTTTTCAAAATAAAATAAAAAATTGTTTCTCTTTTGGAATACAACTTCAGGTATTTAGATGGCTTTCAAACATAGTAGGCACTCAAGCATCTGTTGAATATAACATTTGCTGTATGTAAAGAAAGCTTCTTCAAATGTTACTGTCTTTTACAGTCAGAAAACAGATGTTGCAATAACATGATGGGTGTTTTCTGATAGAATGCACTCATTACAAGGCAGCATTTCCAAACAACTTGCCATGAAGCCATTTTACATGGTTTATGTGCCACAAGAAAAAACATTACCAGGAGAAAAACATCTCTACATATGATGAGAATACAAAATGAAATTATATTATATTTCTGATAGAACAAAAAATTGTGTATTTATGATAATAGTGGTTTGTGATCTTAGATATATAATGTGATCCTGATGTAAGGATATTGTGCCTGGAAGGGCACAAAGGCTATTTATTATGATGTAGGAAGTGTAAATTTGCTTGGATTCATGCACAGAAAAGTACTGATGATATATAATAATGGGAACATTGTTTATGTACTAAACTACATAAAAATCTACAAAAGGTTACCTATAGCATAAGAAACCTAAAAGGTACATGAGTAAAATAAAAATAAAGGATACATATTACATTGAATTCTTGATGTTGTTAGAGAATTTCGAGGACTGGATAAACACTGGAGAAATTTACTTTGTGACAGAGATGAAAATATCAAAAGTGAAATTCATACTTCTACTTACAGGGTAATGATGACTATAAGAAATAAAAAATAAAAAAAAAAACCTACCTGCCATTCAAACTCACTATCTGACCAATCCCAGTATGTGCTAATAGAAGAAGAGACATCACTGCAGACACTCCCTTCAGGGAATAAATCAAAGGAAGTAAAGTCTTGATCATCTAACAGGGAATAGCAATCATCTTGATCTCCAACAGAAACTGATGAAAACAGCTCCTCACTGCACTCTGAGCTGGCAACACTTGTTCCACAAGAAGTTAAGTTCCACCTTAAAAAATACAACACAAAAGAAATCACAATAGGAATTAGAGAATCCACACAATTTAAAAATATTACGAGGATACATTTATGACATTTATGGGGAATGTGAGTGTATTTTTAGGTATGATAATGACAGTGTGATTATTTTCAAAAGAGCCATCTTTTAAGCTTGTATATTAAAATAGTCATGAATATGTCTGGAATTTGTCTCAAAATAAGGAAGGAGTTGAGGAATGAGTAGGGATATAGATAAAATATGTGAATAACTAACTGTTGGAGCTGGGTATATGGGGTTCATTACACTATTCTATTTTTGTATCTGAAAATTTTTATGATACTGTAAAAGAAAAATGTATTTCAACGAGGAATAAAGTAAAACCTTCTTCCATAAACAAAACATACAGCATAGTGGTTATTAGTAAGCTCTGGAGTCAGACTGAGTTCATATTCTTGCTCTGTCGCTTGCTGTTTGATCTTGAGCAAAACACACCCTCTCCAAGCTTGTGTCCTCACCATTAAAATGCAGTTATTGTAAAGATTACATGAGAATGTGTACAAAGAACTTAGTAGACATAAAAAGTGCTCAATATCTGGCAGCTATTACTTTTATTAAAGGAACAGGGTAGCCATTGCCAGGCAGAGAAAAGTACCAATAAAGTACACAGGTAGAAGTTCAAAAACGGTTGTCTTATATTTAAATAACTTTTGCACATCAATGTTATAAAGGATCATTGCAAAGATGCTGGAATAAGAAAGGAATGATAAAGAAGACAATGACTAGAAGACTAAAGTGACTTAAGAAGTAATTTCGTTCCCCAGTGATAACTAATCCACAATATTTTGATTTTTTCCTACATGCATTTTTTTTACAGAATCAGCATTCTGAATATATGTATTTTTGTATCCTTTTTTTCCCATGTGACATATATTGAACATTTCCCCAAATATATCAGCTGAAAACAATTTCATACCTATATAATAATCCATTGGTTAAATGTGTAATTTATTTAACCTTTTTCCATCAATAATAGGTACCTAGGCTGTTTCCAATTTTTTTTGCATTACAAATAATACTGAGATGACCTGCTGCTGTTTAATCTTATTTTATTTATAATTTTGTTTATAATTATTTATCCAAATATAGAAACTCTCAATATGGATTACTTGAAAGGAGAGTACCTAGTCAAAAGAATATGAACTCTTCTAAGGGTCATGGTATACTTAGTCAAATACCTTTCTGAAAGGCTGTACCAATTCATACTCCTCAAAGCAGTATATTAAAAGTGCTCATTTCATTACAACCTTAACAGCACTGGAATTATCATTTAAAAAATGTTTACCTGATAGGGGAGAAACATTTTTATATCAACTTTTAATTCTTTGATTATTGGCAAGATCAAAATTTTAAGTATTTATTAGCTAATTTATATAGAGTTTTCCTATGTTTCAATATTATTGATTTTCTAAGACTTCTTTAGCATTAATGATATTAAAGCATTTGTATTATTTGTTACAAGGTTATATATTTTTTCCTTTTTTGTCATGAAATCTACAAATCTGTTTTCTTTAGTAAATTTCCACTAATTTATACTGTTAAGGAGATCATCTTCATTGCTTTGGCAGGAGCCTAGGAAATTAATCCTTAAGATAATGATTTAGTATATCCGATACTAATAAGGTACTTACTGAAATGACTTCCTGAAAAAAAGCCTGTTACCTATTATTAGGTTGCTTCTCATCCTTTATCAAATCCAGTTTTTTCTTATTTCATTTTTTAATTTCCCCTCTTATTTTGTATGGCTAACCTTAATTCCAAAGTTCTTGATTTACAAAATTTGGGCAACCTGACAATTTTATGGCACCTTTTTCTTTGAGCTAAAGATAGAGTACTTTAAAGCACTGAAACACATACACAGGCACACACACTTTAAATCATCATATAATGTTTAGTAAATATAAAAGTAGATGTCAACAAACTTTAATCTAAAAATCTAAAATTCACCTAAGAATCCTAGAATACTTTGTAATATTGCCTAGTTTCATCAACTTGCTAAGTTGGCAGCCTCCTCATTTTTAAAAAAATCAACAGACCTAGTAAAATTAACCAAATTGCCCAAGTCATGCATTAAGGCAATATAAAAGTTGTGAATGGAGTCACAAATTCTGTCCCAAATACAGTAAACCATATCTACATTGTGTCCTGGGAAAATTCTTTCTCTTGTGTCTTCAAATTGCACATGACTTTTTTTTAAACGTTTATTCATTCACCCACTCAACAAATATTTAGTCAGCATCTTCTATGTGACAAGTACTGTGCTATGTGCCAGGAAAAGCTGTTAGATAATTGTTTTTAACGAAAATTTCTTTTCAGCTTGCAAAAATTTGGTAGAAACGTGTTTCTCTCCATGAGTAATAATGACTTTCCTTAAAAAAAAACTATGCTGTGTTAAATGATGTAATGATTAGATCACTGACAAGGAAGTCCGATATATGCTTGATTTTGTACTCTTACTTTAGGGCAAAATCAGTATCTTTCTCACATTTTCCAGATCCATGACTTTTTAACAGATGTTACAGGGTTCTGGGTATTCTAAAAGGCCTTTGCTCTTTTTTTTTTTTAATTAATGGTGGCAAGGAAACTGGATTCATACTTGAAACAAATCATTTACTAAACAGCAAAATAGTGCTTCATATGAGTAGAGATTTTTTAAATTATAGCATCTTCTTACTTGCAAATATTATTTTTATTGTTATTTAAAGGCAGTGTAGATAAAAACAAGGTACATTTACCAACTGCTGGTTGGAGCATTAAATCAGCCTAATCCTGTAAAGCAATTTGGTGTGTGTATATATATATCTTGGTTAATGATGATTGAAAATATAGCCATAAGTCCAGTAAATGAGCAGGAACAAAACTGCATCATCATAAAGGCCCTTATCAATGTCATTACTTAAAGAATCTCCATAGTTTTCTTATTAGGTAACAAGGAGGAAGCAAAATAAAGGTAAATCAAGTATCTTAACAACTGACAAACCTTCTACTTTCAATGAAATTTGTTTGGTAATGACTAAATCCAAAGCAGAATGTCAGCACTCAACTACTCAAATATGATTTTTGGAATGTTGCTTGAATTGATCAATAACATGATGTGAAGAAAAAAAAACATACAATTCCAAAATTAAAAAGAACTCTCTAAACTAAACTTTGCCCACATACATGACTTAGTGGTTTGCTTCTCCCTGTAAAGAAATGACTGGAAGCATATGGTCCTCTCAAATGGCATCCTGAGGAGAGGTAAGAAGGCAGAAAGTTCCAGGAGAAAAGATTGAAAAAGAAAGGTAACTAGGGCAGAAACATCATCTGCTATAGTTTGCTAATTCAGCTTCCCCTAATCTCTGCTGAAAAGGGTACAGAGCAAGATACATTACACCTCCTACTGTTATTCCATGTCTCCTGAAAAGTAGGGTAGGAGAGGGAGGTTTCTTTTTGGTATCATTAATCTACAATTACATGAGGAACATTATGTTTACTAGACTCCCCCCATCACCAAGTTCCCCCCACATAACCCATTGCAGTCACTGTCCATCAGCGTAGTAAGATGCTGTAGAATCACTACCTATCTTCTCCGTGCTCTACAGCCTTCCCCGTGCCCCCACACACATTATGCATGCTAATCATAACGCTCCCTTTCTTTTTCCACCCCCTATCCCTCCCTTCCCACCCATCCTCTCTGGTCCCTTTCCTTTTGGTAACTGTTAGTCCATTCTTGGGTTCTGTGAGTCTGCTGCTGTTTTGCTCCTTCGGTTTTTTTTTTTTCTTTGTTCTTATACTCCACAGATGAGTGAAATCATGTGGTCCTTGTCTTTCTCCACCTGGCTTATTTCACTGAGCATAATACCCTCTAGCTCCATCCATGTTGTTGCAAATGGTAGGATTTGTTTTCTTCTTATGGCTGAATAATATTCCATTGTGTACATGTACCACATCTTCTTTATCCATTCATATACTGATGGACACTTAGGGAGAGGGAGATTTTAAAATGCAGTAGTAACTAGCAAAAATAATGTGTGACTTGGAAAAACAGGGTGAACAGGAAACCTTCCCCTCTTACTTCACTGTCCCATTCTGGAAAACAACCTTTACCTTACCGCAATCTCTAAGAAAAGGGGTAGAAAATCCCAAGATAAAAATGGGGAGGAGGGGATAGAGAAAACAAGCTTTAAAAAATGTATTATTCTCCTTGCTTCACTCCACAACACCCCACCTGTTTTGGCAGTGCTTACTCTCCTCAGCCCCTCTCCCCATTCCCTTTCCCTCATCAGAGTCAGCTAATTCTGAAATATTTAACTTTGCTGTGTATGAGTTGCTCCAGTGATATAAAACTTAAATATCAAATATTTGTAAAAGGATTCTTTTTATATCATTTTCCAAAGTAAACAATCTGAAGCACACTGGATTTCATAAATAAGTTACATTCATGATATAGTCATGCTATGGGCCATAGAGGTTTCTGTGAGTTAGTCTAAGAAACTGTAACAACCATTTATAACACTGGAGTCGTTAGTTCTGGTCCAAGTTTCACCACTAGTTCTAAAGAAGTAACTCTGGCTTTGCCTAACTCCAGTTTTATGACCTTGAACTCAGTCTTTCCTCTAGGCCTCTGTTTTCTTATTTTTGCAGTGAGGATTTGGAATAGTTGTAAGAAATTTACTACCACTTCCTTTTCAAATGTGTTATACTGATGTTCTGTATGATTGTTTAACTATTAACACTTTGCTTCCAGACTGTACCTTTTTTTTTCAGGTAACAATCATGCTTTATACCTTCCTGTACCCAGTAAAAGCTCAGTAAATCTGGAAACTGATTTACGAGGAGGGGGGAGGAGACATGCAACATACATTAAAATCAGTAAGGATTTGTTCATGCTCATATTGTAAACTGGATCACAAATCAGAACTAGACTCCAGGATTTTCCATAGCTGAAACCTTTTCCTCCTCCCTTATTCCTCACATGCCCCCCAGCCTTTTTATGTTTGTGTATGGGTGTAATAACCACCTATGTTAAAGGTTCAGGGCTATGTGTAAAATATCTTCAAATGCCCCATATTTGGTATAACACTTATATGATTAATAAGAGAATTTTCCAGAACACTCTACCTTCCAATAAAACCAGTCAGGGGATGCACCGTCTGCATAAATTTGTTTAAGCAAGCCCATCCTAAGCCTGGCTCCATTCATCCACTGGGAGAGCAAACCAAGACATATCCACCATAAAGGAACCTTCCAGATTTAAGCTTATATATGTTGGCAAGGCCTGAAGCGCTAAGGCAAAAAGTTCATAAAGGAGAGGAAAAAAAAGAAGAACCGTCTAGTTTCCTACAGCTTCACTAAAAAATGGGAGGGGAAGGGTGGAAGTGGAAATAGGGCTGTGAAATTGTTTAAAAGCTGGTAAAAGGAAGATTCTAGCTTAAAAGTGCCACCGTTCAACAAAACAGGAGCAGACTCACAGAACCCAAGAATGGACTAACAGTTACCAAAGGGAAAGGGACTAGAGAGGGTAGGTGGGAAGGGAGGGATAAGGGGAATAAGGGGCATTACGATCAGCACACATAATTTAGGTGGGGGCACAGGGAAGGCAGTATAGCAAAGAGAAGACAAGTAGTGACTCCATAGCATCTTACTATGCTGATGGACAGTGACTGTAATGGGGTATATGGTGGGGACCTGATAGTGGGGGAAATCCAGTACCCACAATGTAGCTCATGTGATTGCATATTAATGATACCCAAATAAAAAAAGTGCCACCTTTCAAAAGATCTAAGGATTGATTTTGAGCCATCCGAAATCCACTTTACAGCGTAGCAGAAATGGAAAGGGTTAAACTTTTGCGGGTGGATGGAAATGGGGAAGCATCTCAAAATCAAGCGGCGGGGGGTTGGGATTCGAAGAATACAGATGGGCGAGAGGGGGAAGAGAGGAGCCGCTATAGTCGTAAGATGAATGGGGAAAAGTGGGAGAGAAATGCCTACCAAAAGGAAAACCGGAATGCAGAAGTGAAAATAGGGAGGGGGAGAGGGAAGAAGACAGGGAACGCGTTCTAGTCCATGAAAAGTGGGGGAGTAGGGATCCGAGGCGGGAAGTCAGGCCCAGAGGCCACCCAGCGTTCTCCAGCTTGAGGTAGAGGTGAGGGCAATCCGCCCCTACCCTCAGCGGCGGTTCGTACCTGTTGGTGTGGAAGCGGTGGAGCGGGTCCGTGCGATGGCAAGAGGACAGCTGGCAGCCAAAGTCGCTGATGTCCAGACAGCCCGGCTCCTCGCTCGGACAGGTACCCACCCCGCGAGGGGGTCCCAGAAGCGGAAAGGGTTCCTCGGGGGTTAGAAACTTCTCGTACGAAATGGTGGCCGACGCCTCGTCGGACATGGTTGGAGATGGCCTGGTCCGGGCTCTCTCCGGCCCGGGGCTGCTCCCGCGCCCGCCCCTGCCCCTGCCCCCCCACTCTAACCTGTCTGCGGTCCCCGCCGCGCCGGGGTGTGCCCACCGCAGCTCACTCCAGGCTGAGTGCCGTGACCCGCCGCCGCCTGGGGAGTGCCAGGCCGCGCGAAGAGGCTGCTCCGGGCCACACCGGCCAGCCGGCCACCCAGTTAGCCCCTCACTGGCCTCTGCAAGCGCCTCAGTTGTCGCCGCCGCCGCTGCCCAGCCCAGCCCAGCTCAGTCAGCGTAGCGCCGCCGCTGCCGCCGCCACCGCTGCCCGCCCCGCCCCCAGGGCTCGCGGCTCGCTACTGCCGCAGTCCGCCCGGCGGGCTGCTGGAAGCCGCTCCCTATGCCCCCTGCTGGAGCGGAGGAGAAACTGAACCTTCGCGCGCCCGCCCCGCCTTCCCTGCGCTGAATCAGATTCCAGGCGCCGGGAGGGCCCGGCGCTTCAAGCCAACAGCCCCAGCTTTCTCACTCGCGGCTGATGACTAAGCAGCCAGCGGCATCCCTGAGAAAAGGGACTTGGCCAATGTGACACTGCGACCGTGAGAAAAGATCTAGATGTCCTGGTTCCAAGCACACTCGACCATCATGTCCCAATTCAACAAGTGTTTATTGAGCTCCTGAAGTGTGTGTAAACGAGCACTGTGAAATGAGCTGTACAAAAAATGCTTTAAGAGGGGAAAAGCTCCTAACTCACGCTTGATCACCTAACCCCAAGAACTTTATGCAACAGCCACCAGACTACTCAGAGCTGCTGGACACGTAGTTCTTTGCACTCTGTGCCCTTGCTGGCTTCATGTATTGTTTGGAATGCTCTGCCGTTTCTCCCCAGCTAATTCAAACGTTACCGCCTCTGTGAAGCCTTCCCTGACTCCCAAATGAAACGGGTATTTCTGCCAATGCTCGCATAGAAAATAATATTATGGCACTTGTTCAACTTAAATCAACTTAGTAGGTTTCACACACTTTTCTTGCTTCCTCTCACTTTTCTGTTTTCTAGACAGGTGGTTCCAGATCTTGGACGTGGAGATTTTTTTTTTAATATTCAAAGGAAAACACAGGATTGCCAATTTCTTATTTTGCCAAATAAAGGCAATTTTTAAAATTACCTACTACCACTTTATAGAAGGAAGCACATTTTCATATAAAGGGATAATCTCTCTCAAAAACATTAAATATATTTGGCTATGGGAAAACTGATTACATGGGGCCTTGAGGGAAGCAGAGAACTAAAGTTGGTGGAAAGGAAAGGAAAGGAAAAGTGAAAGAATGCAAGAGAAAGGGAAGGAGATAGGGGGTTAGCAGAAGTGGGAAGCTTTCATACAAGCCCCAGTTTTAAACTCTGTGCCTTAGCCTACCAATGTAACTTCTAATGAAAACAACTCCCCAACCACTCCCTTAAAATGTATGTACTGTCTTGCTTCAGTTATTTGGTTATCTGACTCTTTACCATGCCTGTCTTGTTTCATTTAATTTAAAAATCATGGACATGATCATGAATGCTTGACACAGAATCTGTCCACAATGATGTTTAAAAAATTAATCTGAACCTGCCTGTAAGGGCTTCGAAGACTTTTTTGTGACTAATGAGAAGATGATGATATAAAACTTCATTCTTACACAAAGAAATTTATCTGCCTACAGTGTAAATAAATTGGAGGAGCCAGTATCAAAGAGATGTTGAATCTGTGATTCATCAGTTGTTCATTCCTTGTGTGATGGGGAAATTGCTGACCTGGTGTTAAACACAAATAAGAGCTGACCAGTAGGCATGATGGCAGTGATGACACAGTGAACACAGATGAAAACATTCCCACTGATAATATGGTGAATATTTGTGATCAGCTAAATAACGGCCTTGAACAATTTGCAATTAATAATGTATAGAGGTAATGATAAATTACCCAATTAGAAACAGACTTCTTAGGTAGAAATCTAAATGAATAGGTTATGCCTCTGGAAGGAATCATTAAAAAGAGAATCAGTTGCGTTGCAGCTTCCTCATTTGGGAGCCCTGTCCCTGAACTCATTATCGAACATCCAATGGGAAAACGATGGCATCCTCAGGTTAGGACAATTCAAAGAAAGTTTAAGAAAGAACTACTTACAAAGATGGAAGCAACTTCCCAGGGGTGTGGGACTGGTGAGACTGAAAGGGCCATGGCTTAGTCCCAGCAAACAAGAGACTTAATTGTCCAAGTGAAACAAGAGTCAAGTGCTGCCTAATAATGTAGGTACTCAGGTAATAGCACAGGAATTGATTGGTAAGAAGCCAAATAAATCGTCTAAACATGTATTTTTTACACATACTATAATAGGGCTGTTTTTCAAAATGGAGTCTAATGACAGTTTAGTCTGTAAGTTTTCTATGTGTGTTTTACTTTTACGTTTAATTTTAAGCATATTCTGAGTATCTGGATGACCAAAATGATATCTAACAGCTGCCACATAATTAGGATGTTATCTGTGTCTGTTTTTAAAATCAAGTTGGCACAAGGTAATACTACTTTAATCATTATGAGCTAATGAGGAAAAATGAGGTGAACCTCCTATTTCATGGCTTAGTATACAAATGAAGAGTTTCCTGTAGTTTGAAATGAAAGAGGAAAGTGATGTGAAAGAAGAGTCCTCACAAGACACACACACAAGCATGTTGAAGGCCAAGAGCATGCACTGGCCAGTCAGTATAGTATGTTCAGGTTTCTAAGGGCAGTTTCATCTCAGCAAAAATCATGTACTACATTAAATTGCATTCTATTTTAATTTGTGCACAATTTGTAAATTTACTTTCATGTTAAAATTTGTATAAGAACTTTACAAACAGAATTTATATTTACTTTTGCTTGTTTATATTTTATAAATATTACTATACAAATTTACATAAACGCTTGGGCCAGAGAGAATGTTTTTCCTTTAAAAGAAGTCCCTCCAATATTATTTCGACAGTAACTATATTGTTAGTTGAGGAAACATTGAGATAAGAAGGCAGGGCTTGAGCTTGAAAAACATAGCGGAAAGATGAAAGGAGACACTAACAATATTGAACTGCTTACGTTTGGATTCCTTTTTTTTCTTGTTTGATATCGTTAATGTACACTTATTTGACCATTATGGTTACTAGACTCCCCCTATTATCAAGTCCCCCCCCCACAAACCCTATTATAGTCACTGTCCATCAGCATAGTAAGATGCTATAGAATCATTACTTGTCTTCTCTGTATATATTGCCTTTCCCGTGTCCCTCCCTGCTACATTATGTGTGCTATTCGTAACGCCGTTTTCCCCCTTATCCCTCCCTTCCCACCCATCCTCCCCAGTCCCTTTCCCTTTGGTAACTGTTAGTCCGTTCTTGGGTTTTGTGAGTGTGCAGCTGTTTTGTTCCTTCAGTTTTTGCTTTGTTCTTATACTCCACAGATGAGTGAAATAATTTGACATTTGTCTTTCTCCGCCTGGCTTATTTCACTGAGCATAATACCCTCTAGCTCCATCCATGTTGTTGCAAATGGTAGGATTTGTTTTCTTCTTATGGCTGAATAATATTCCACTGTGTATGTGTACCACATCTTCTTTACCTATTCATCTACTGATGACACTTAGGTTGCTTCCATTTCTTGGCTATTGTAAATAGTGCTGCAATAAACATAGGGGTGCATATGTCTTTTTCAAACTGGGCTGCTGCATTCTTAGGACAAATTCCTAAGAGTGGAATTTCTGGGCCAAATGCTATTTCTACTTTGAGCTTTTGAGGAACCTCCATACTGCTTTCCACAATGGTTGAACTAATTTACATTCTCACCAGCAGTGTAGGAGGGTTCCCCTTTCTCCACATCCTTGCCAATATTTGTTGTTGTTTGTCTTTTGGATGGTGGCCATCCTAACTGGCGTGAGGTGATATCTCATTGTGGTTTTAATTTGCATTTCTCTGATGATTAGAGATGTGGAGCATCTTTTCATGTGCCTGTTGGCCATCTGAATTTCTTTGGAGTAGTGTCTCTTCAGCTCCTCTGCCCATTTTTTAATTGGTTTATTTGCTTTTTGTTTGTTGAGGTGTGTGAGCTCTTTATATAATTTGGATGTCAACCCCTTATCAGATGTCATTTATGAATATATTCTCCCATACTGTAGGATGTGTTTTTGTTCTACTGATGGTATCCTTTGCTATACAGAAGCTTTTCAGTTTGATATAGTCCCACTTGTTCATTTTTGCTTTTGTTTCCCTTGACTGGGGAGATATGTTCATGAAGAAGTTGCTCATGTTCATGTCCATGAGATTTTTGCCTATGTTTTTTTCAAAGAGTTTTATGGTTTCATGACTTACATTCAGGTCTTTGATCCATTTTGAGTTTACTTTTCTGTATGGGGTTAGACAATAATCCAGTTTCATTCTCTTACATGTAGCTGTCCAGTTTTGCCAACACCAGCTGTTGAAGAGGCTGTCATTTCCCCATTGTATATCCATGGCTCCTTTATAGTATATTAATTGACCATATATGCTTGGGTTAATATCTGGACTCTCTATTCCGTTCCACTGGTCTATGAGTCTGTTCCTGTGCCAGTACCAAATTGTCTTGATTACTGTGGCTTTGTAGTAGAGCTTGAAGTCAGGGAGTCTAATTCCCCCTGCTTTATTATTCCTTCTCAGGATTGCCTTGGTTATCCATTTGGATTCCTTTTATGTGACAGAAAAATGATGGGTTTCTTAATGACAGCCAAATACAATTGCTAACTAATGCAACTTATAATTAAGATACAGTGAGAGGCAAGGTTTTATTAACCTTAAAAGTAAAATTGTCAGTTATTTTACCAGCAAAAAGTAGGTTTATTGGGGAACAGCAGAGAATTGTTTTAGACAAGCTAAGGCAAAAACCACAGGCATAATGAAAAAACAAAAGAGCCAACCACTCTTTTCCTCTGGAAGTTGGGGGGGGGGGCACCTATTGTGGCTTTTCATTGGTTGGGTAGTGACAGTCTCTCATTGGCTGGTTTGTTGCCAGGGGAGGTGGAAACTCTTCCCTC